CCATATGTACCATTAGTGAATGGCATACTCAATATTAGATGTTGGGAAGTTTAGAAATTTCTTTTCTTAGGCAAAAAATGTTATTGCTTCTTTACATATATATGTATATATTGAAGCAGTATTTTACCTGATGATATAGAAATAAGGTAAAGGTAAAGGCCCTCCCGTTGATCGTCGATTTGCTCGAGCGGGCCCAGTAACGTCTCCATTGGAGACTTTGTTGTTACTGTGTCTGGCATATCGAATACTCTCGGTAGCTTGCCGGGCTCTCCGAGAGGGGCGGAGGAATCGAACTCGAGTCGGCCATGTTGGCTGCGATATAGAAATATTGATTTTAAAATATCCTTACTATAGGAATTTTTCAAATTTTGCCTTAATAGTTGCAAAATATTTGTTCTATTTTACCATTCTATTGGTGTAAAAAATTAGTCAAAGACCACAGCAATAGAATTTAGATTTAACATTGCCACAATCTGCATTAGACCTAAGAAGTGAAAATAAGATTGAAATACTTAAGTAAAAAAGAAAAGAATATGAAACAAATTTGGCAAAACAGTCTATAAGTCAGGGTCCACTTCTGACCTTTTCTTCAAAACTCCAATTAACATGAGAGCAGTGAAAATGAATTTAATAGTTTTTTTGATATTGTGTCTTTTTACCTGTTTCCTCTTCTAAGTATGCATTCTGTCACTTTTTCATATGATTAAAATTTCAGGCTATGCAAATATTACTTCTTAAAAAAGTTTTCTTCTGGGGCTGGAGTGGTAGCACAGCGGGTAGGGCATTTGCCTTACATGCGGCCGACCCCGGTTAGATTCCCAGCATCCCATATGGTCCCCTTGGCACCGCCAGGAGTGATTCCTCAGTGCAGAGCCAGAAGTAAGCCCTGTGCATTGCCAGGTGTGACCCAAAAAGAAAAAAAATATTTTCTTCTATTGGACAAAGAAAAATTCCATTATCTTCCACTAAGTTACTTAGATTTTAGTTATAACATTTATTGAACTGTTGTTGCTATATGTTTAAATGTAAAATGGCCTTCCAGAAAAGATTGTTGTGGCAGAATGGGAAGGAGACAAGAAAAGGAGAGTTTGTGTATTTTTGCATCATTTCTCACTCAACTCATGTTGGTCTTTCTCCATGTGGTAGCACAGAGCAAAGAGTTCTAGGTATATAACTACAATTGTATATGCTTTTGTTCAATTGTCATGGTATGGATGTTAGAAAAAATGGGGGGAGAGTGCCACACTCTATAGCGCTCAGGGCTTACTCCTGGCTCTGCACTCAGGGACCAGACCTGGTGGGCTTAAGGGACTTTATGTGGTGCTGGGATTGAACCAGGGTAGGAGAACTTGACATGCTGTACTATTGCTCTGGCCCACGATGTTAGAAATGTTATAACTCCTCAGATGCTTCTGATATACTGTGACTCCCCATTTTTTATTTTATAAGCTATAAACATGTTGATGGAAAAGAAAATAATGGTTGTTTCAAATATACCTATGTGGTTTTGTGTGATGAAAGTAGAGGTTAATGAGTTCACAGGTTTAAGGTAGGGAGTTTGTCATGTGACGATCTAAAAGAGAATGGAAGGAGCATCTCCTCAAGGCAGGAACAAATTGATCATTCTTTTTTTAAATTAATTTTTATTATAAACACCATGATTTACAAAGTTGTTCATTATATAGTTGTTTCAATCATTTATAGTTTTCCAACACCAACAGTGTGACTTTTCCTCCTCCAATACCCCCAGTTTCCCCCAATCCTAAGCTGACCCATTAGCACATAACAAATTTACTTTATATTGCTTATTCCAAAAAAACTTTGAGAAATAGGAAACAGAATGATCAGAAAACAAATCAGGAAGAGTCAATTTGTGATTACTGTATGACAAATCAGTCATTCTTAAAGAAGGGAAAAATGCTCAAGAATGGAGTAAAGAGGAATATGATAAAAGATAAACAGGTGAGCTGAAGTCATATATTTTGTGTGCTTTGTGGGCTTCCCAAGAAGTATCTGGTGGACCAGGGGCTACTTCTGATAATAACTTAAATACCCCTGCCCCTAATTTAGTGCTTAAGTACTATAATTTCAGGAAACATCAGGGCTACACCTAGGGATACTCAGAGCCTCAGGGGGTTGCTCAGGTCTCTAGGATTATCCTCAGAGATTCTCAGGGAATGATATAGTACCTGAGATTGAACCCAGGTCTAGTACATGCAAATCATACACCTTCACCCATTTACTATCTCCCTGACCCAATTTTTGTATTAGTTTTTTAAAATTCATGGCTAAGAGATTTATAGTACTGTTAATACCTGTCACCAAAATGCCAATATCTCTTTAGCACTATGGCTAAGTTTTTCCTTTCACATTTCATTATCCACTTAAGACCTTCTCCTAAACCCTGCTTAGTAAACGAAGGCTCTTTTAATTGGTCACAATGATACTTTGTCCATCATAAGTATCCTGTAGGGTGTTTGCCTTGCACGCAGCCAACATGGCCGACCCGAGTTCGATTCCTCCGACCCTCTCGGAAAGCCCGGCAAGCTACTGAGAGTATCTCGCCTGCACAGAGTAGACTTTTAATTTAACTAGGAAATTACTACTTTATTTATATCTAGATAAATGCCTCTGTTTGTTTGTGTCAGAACTAATTGTCTGTGTAGGCATGAGGGGTAAATTTCATTCTAAATTAAATTGGTATCACTATTTTCCAAGAAAAATTATGTTCTAGAAAATACTTGTAAAAATGCTAACTTCATTCAGGCTGATAATCAGTATTTTTGGTCCTGATTGTTAATACTCTATCTTTCTCTCTTTCTTTCTCTTTCTATCCCTCCCACCCTCTCTATCTATCTGTTGGTCCATCTATCTTCTCTCATTTTTAATTGTCATTGTCACTGTCCTCCCATTGTTCATCGATTTGCTTGAGCGGGTCTAACAATTCATTCTCTCCATTGTGAGACTTGTTGTTACTGTGTTTGACATATGAATACATCACGGGGAGGTTGCCAGGCTTTGCTGTATGGGTGAGATACTCTCGGTAGCTTGCCGGACTCTCCGAGAGGGGTGGAGGAATTCAACCTGGTTTGCTCGGGTTGGCCACGTGCAAGGCAAACGCCCTACCGCTGTGCTATTGCTCCATAATAAAGGTTTAATTTTTCATGAGAAATCTAAGATAAAGCATATTTTTCTCACATACATCTCATATGTACATCTCCTTTTTACAGGAATGAATAATCACCCTCCAAGAGGTCTGCAGTAACTCAGGAATTCCTATTTTGCTTCAAAAAAGTTAAACCTCCTAACATATATTCCCACTAATAGAAACTATAAATATAAATTTAATACGTACAAACTAAGAATAAATAAATGAAGTGAACAATGTATTAAGGAAGACAATAGGTACAATACATGTAGGTATGGGTAATAAGGAACCAGGATTGAATTATTTTTATCACGATCACGATCACGACCACCCTGTTGTTCGTTGATTGCCTCGAGCAGGTGCCAGTAACGTCTTCTTCGTCCTAGCCCTGAGATTTTTTTTTTTAAGTGCCATATTCAAGGCTTCTTCAGGGTTAGGAGAATGAGACCCATCATTGTTACTGGTATTTGGCATATTGGGTATACCACGGGGAGTTTGCCAGACTCTGCCGTGTGGGCATGTTACATTTGGTAGCCTGCCAGTTTGACCGAATTAGGAATGAGATGATAAGATGTCGCGCGGCCGCAAATGCGGCCGCGCGCTTCCGGGAGCTGAGTGTGATAATCTCTGGATCCTGGCCGTTGTTGGAGTTACACGGCAGTTGGTGGGTGTAACTGTCTAGTTACTGGCAGGTCCAGTCCCAAACTGTACAGGCTTGGAGATCTCAGCCCCGGGTCCCACACACCTGGGTTCCTCTGTCAGTTCTTTTATGCGTGAGGCTCATCCAAGTGTGTGGAGAGTGCTCCCAGCAAGGCCTTGGCTGGGCCTCGGTGGTCTTCAGCTGTTGGGCCCTGGTTATTTTTATAGTGTTTATAAATCCCAAGAGCAAAGAGAAAGTTCTGATAAATTTATGATAGGAAATAAAGAATAAATGAGAACTACCAAGCAGTTCAATGGACCAACTTGAAGTTAGTAAAGCATCAGTAAAGACAATTCATTCTAAACATCAAGGACAATATTGATGTAAAAATATTTGCATCAAATAACTGTCCACCAAGCACATAAATTCATAGTAGAAGTGAGAGGTGACCACTTAATAGTGTTCCTTTGGACAACTTTTCTTAAGAAATAGAGGATCCTTGGGAAAGGAACTGGGTAATAATCATAAAGTGGATTTCTGATAAGGGAAAACACATGAAAATCAGGTAAGTAAAAGATTTTCTTCAACAACTCAGCATTCTTAAAACAAGGAGTAAAAGAGATCATAGTTCTCTAAGACACTCTCATCATTTAATCAATAGTGAAATGTTTCCTTCCTATTCTTACTTAGACATCTAGAAAAAAATTGAAATTTGAATTATTGAACTGGGAAAAGAGAGAGTAAATTTTCATGATACCATCCCTTGTAAACTGACAACTGATAACAAAATGAGGGTGTGAGTAGTATAGGTACTTAGAGATAGGCCTGGATCTAGATCAAAATTGGAATTCCTGATTGTTAATGCCCTCTCTATCTTTCTCTCTTTCTTTTTCTCTTTCTTTCTCTCTTTCTTTCTCTTTCTATCCCTCCCACCCTCTCTATCTGTTTGTTGGTTCATCCATCTTCTCTCATTTATAATTGTCACTGTCACTGTCCTCCCGTTGTTCATCAATTTGCTTAAGCGGGCCCAGCAATTCATTCTCTCCATTGTGAGACTTCTTGTTACTGTGATACATTTAGTACATCATGATACAAAATAAATATTCTTTGAATCTTTCTATGAAATTTCTCTCGCTAGTTATTCAAAATTATATCAATCAAAACAATTCACTTTGTATGTCTCATTGGCAGGTATTTATTCAACCAACTACTATGAGAATCTTCAACCAATCCAGCTCCATGAGCTTCACTTTGTTGGGCATACCTGGCTTAGAATCACAACATTTGTGGCTATCTATTCCCTTTTCCTCTATGTTTTTGACTATACTCATTGGCAACGGTGCTATACTCTTCCTCGTAGCCACAGAACCCACCCTTTACACACCAATGTACCTGCTTCTGGCCTTGTTGATGGTGGTTGACCTTGTATCCTCTCTGGCTCTACTGCCCAAGATTCTCTGCCTTTTTTGGTTCAATGATAGAGACATAGCTCCCAATGCCTGTTTCACTCAAATGTTTTTCATTCATGGAGCATCTGTAGTACGATCAGCACTACTTGTTGCAATGGCCTATGACCGCTTTGTGGCTGTGTGTGAGCCATTACGTTACAACACAATTCTGAGCCATTCCTTAGTTGGACGCTTGGGACTATTGGCCCTAACCAAGGGTGTGATACTTGTTCTTCCCTTGCCTCTTCTACTTCAAAGGTTGACTTTCTGTCATGTGGTCATACCTCATACATACTGTGACCATATGGCTGTGGTGAAAATGGCCTGTGGCCATACCAAACCCAATCGTATTTATGGGCTCTTTGTGATTCTGCTTGTGGTAGGACTTGATTTGCTGCTTATTGGTTTCTCTTATGGTCTCATCCTGCAGGCTGTGGTACGTCTCAATTCTCGAGATGCCACCTTCAAAGCCCTCAATACCTGCTCTGCCCACATCTTTGTCATCCTTGTCACCTATATACCTGCACTCTTTTCCTCTCTCACCCATCGCATTGGTCGTAATATTCCTCCACATGCCCATATTCTCCTGGCAAATCTCTATCTTCTTCTGCCCTCAATGCTCAACCCCATCATCTATGGAATAAAAATGAAAGAAATACGAGACAAGGTACTCAAATGTTTGTTCAAAGGAACTACATAAACGGTTAATTCCATCAACATTATCCTATGGGTTAATGAATAATGAGAACAACAGATGATGATGTGGTCAAAATACCCAAGATCCAATTTTATCTCCACATGAGCTGTTGAAAGAATATAATATGGAAGAAAATTTGTTTGGGTTTACATAAAGAACAAATTTATTTTTATTTCATTGAACTGTGAACTAATTATGGAGAGCTTTAGTTGTGTTGCTATGTCTAACAGAAGTACTCTTAAAGCATATATAACCTGTTAATTCACATCTACATTTGTTCATAAACTATATATAGATTCTTTGTAAATAATCTGAAACTATTTGTCTGGTAGAAAATTTATGTTTGTTTAAGTTTTTCTATTTCTCCTATTCTGTGTATCTAACTAGTATTTTATTGTTGAAAGACACATGATATTCTGCACATTTATTAACTTTGGATACATCTTAGAAGGCATGCAATAACTCATCAGTATATCGGTCATTTCACCTAAAATTTTAATACACTGGGAATGCATAATGTTCTCAGTCACAGTCACGGTCACGGTCCTCCTGGTGTTCATTGATTTGCTTAAGTGGGCCCAGTAATGTCTCCATCATGACACTTGTTCTCAGTATCAATCAAATTTTTGTAATTATGTTCATACTTATTCCAAAAATCAAGTGGAGGGGCTGGATCAATAGCACAGTGGGTAGGGCATTTGCCTTGCACACGGCCGACCCAGGTTCAATTCCCAGCATCCCATATGGTCCCCTGAGCACCACCAGGGGTAATTCCTGAGTGCAGAGCCAGGAGTAACCCCTGTGCATTGCCAGGTGTGACCCAAAAAGCAAAAAAAAAATCAAGTGGAAGATTATATACATATACCCATGGTTCAGTGCTGAGATGTATTTCTTGCAAGAGGAAATATGCATACAATTAACTATTCAAAAACTTGTATTGAAATGTTTTTAAGAATTGTAATGAGAATTATATGAAATTATTAAAATGTGGCTATCAAATCCTCGATATAAGGCAAATGTAAAGTTTGTAATAAGAATGGCCAATTTATAATTAAAGTTAAAAAAAAGCTATTGAAAAAGAGCATAGCCCATTTTAGCACAATATTGACCATTTTGATAGTGACTTTAAAGGCAGTAAAAAAATCTCTATGTAATAATGCTCTTTCAATCTATCACTGTCTTTAGTTCCTAATTTATGCCAATTTGGTCTTGTAGTTCTTCAGGTATCTAATTTCACTTTTACAAAGAGTTCTAAAATGTAAGTAGATAGGTTATTCAGAGATTTAACTACTTAGCCTGGGAACAGCAGAGTAATTGTCATAAGGGTATGTCTGTGGTCTTTTGGGGCAGAGATTTCTCCAGCATCTTCCAATATAGAATTGTACCCAAGTCTACTACTTTTAAGACAAGTACTTTAGCCTCTTTATTAGGTCTCATTCATTGCATCTTAATGCAAATGTCCTGATTTTTAAGATTTCATTTTTTCTACTAGCATGCTGATAACAAACATGCCTTACCTAAACATTCGAATATCCTTGCAGCTCTACAATGCTTACAATTATGTTGTCAGTCTAATATTTGATGGTCTCTGCCCTGCTATTATAAGTGATCAATGTCTTTTCAAATATTGCTATCAAACTGAAGTTTTTGTAAAATCTTTAATAACGGTACCACCTCTTCTCAGTTACTATGCTTTACCACTTACCAATAAGGAGAGGAACTTCTAAATCACAGGCAAAAAAAGTGAGTAGCTCCAGTTCCACATATTACCATCTATATCTCTCACTTGTATTAGCTTGTGTCTACTAAAAATCATATGCTAAAATGGGACTTTATATGTAAGGTTTTCTTTAGAAGAAATACCTTTCTTTTTTCTTAACTTTTATTAGTGAGACATCATGAGGTACAGTTGTAGACTTACATATTGTTGTGCTTGGGTTTCAATTATACAATGAACAAATGCCCATCCCCCCACCAGTGCCCATTTCCCACCACCACGGAGCCCAGTATCCCTCCCACCCCCCTCAAACAAGAAATACCTTTCTGAAATAAAAATAATTAGTATAAATTGGGAGATCTATCTAATCCTAATATAAATTTAACCTCTAGTTGTGAAGAAAGAGAAAAGTAGTTGGTAGTATTATCTTAGTATGTCATACAAAATCAGAAAAGGCCAACCATAAAACATGAATTTTCTTAACATCAACTCTTTAAAACATGAATTTTGTTAAATATATTTGCAATCCTCAGCCATTAGTGTTGAGAAGTCAATGCCAAACATTATTTTAATTATTTTTAATGGCAGTTATTAATTTAAGATTTCAGGAATTAAGTCCCCTTATCAATTAAGCTTCGTGTTAATAGGAGGCCCGTGATGCACATTCATGTGACACTAACTTGACAAGAAAGAGAAGAGAGAAATAGCAAATAGCTATTCTTCAAACCCTTTACACTCTCTCTGACTCTTAGGTTCATTAAAGGCAAGGGTCAGCAACTTTTACTATAAAGGTTTCTTTTTAATTTTTTTTATTTTATAAGGTAGTTCACAATATTTGATTACACTTAATATTCAAACACCAATCCCACCACCAGTATACCTTCCCAACAAGCATATTTGGGATGTTTCCATCTCAAACTCCAATCCCTGTTCCAAAGCAGAACCAAAATAATATATTTTGTATTGTTTGTTATGAAAAACTGCTGAAATTTCTACAAAAATGCATCCATAGAGGAAAGAGTATGAAGATTGTTCTATTTTGGCAGGGGCCATTAGGTCCTTCTATAAGATATCAGTAACATGTGGTTAAAGGTTGAGCCTTGTGAACGTTCATATATATCTGTAAGCATATATATGCTTACAGTTATATTTATGATTACAGTTATATTTATCTGTATATACACACATATACATATATGTGTATATATATATGTATTTCCCTCTGTGATCAGTTGCCTACTATTTGAACCCTATCAAATGTGGTGTGGTACTCTTGGAGTATGGGTAGGGTGTGTCTTATGATGTGCTACACGGCCTCAAAGCCCAGGAATAGGTTCATTCATGTGTAAGGCTCAGCCCAAGCGTGTGGGGAGTGGCCTTGAGCATGGCAGTCGTTGGGTTCTGGAGGCTTTCATCTGCTGGGGCTGGATTCGTTGGGGCAGGGAGGGCTCTCACCTGGCCCCCTCTGGGGCACCCTGAGTAAAATAGCCTGACTCAGGGTCTGGTGGCATGGCTATAGTGAGCCTCATGCTATGTTCCCTTCTGGGAGAGAAGGACATGTGATCTGGATGGTGGCCAATGACGAGATTATCTTAGTATAAAGTTTAATATAGTGAATTTGTGTTTTTTGTTTTCTTATTTTAGAACTCTGCCATGAGTCATGACGTTATTGTAGTATTGCAGTCATCAATGATGCATAAGCAAATCAATATAATTCTGTACCCATAAAATTTAATTTGCAAAAATGGGTCTCAGTTCATATTTAGACCACAAACCATAGTCTTCTACCTTTGCTCTAAGACCATCATGATATTATTTTTATAAAAATTAAATAATTGAAACCAATCATTGTCTTCTAGTAAAGGGTTAGTTAAAGCACACTATGAAACAGTTTTAAAAAGTGGAATGAGTTCATACTGCCATTAGTTGGCATCAATAATAACAGGCTAACCAATAACTAAAAAAGTAGTATTTCCAAACATGATTCTATTTTGTGGTACTGATATTTTAAAAAATTTGTTTACATAAAAGATATTTTTGAACAAATATGTGTTATACTGGATTGAGAAGTGTGCTCCAAATTCTTGTCTGCGAAGACAGCTAGCATGTGAGCTTATCTGGAAATAGGATATTTTCAAATTCTTATAAAGTAAAATTAAGGTAATATTAGATTTAATATAGACTCAGTCCCTTTTTTTAATAATAGTAATAATAATAGCAAACCATAGACACAGGAAGAAACAAAATGAAGGTGTGGGGAGGTGTATGTGGAAAAACAGAGAGGCCATCTTATGTCATAGGTAGGGATTGGAGCTATGTATATATTTTCAGTCAAGAAATACCAATAATTGGGCAGTCACTAGAATCTATAGAAAAAAATGACAGAAAAAACTTAGAACTAGAGCCTTCAGAGAAGCATTAATCTACTGACAAACTGGTTTTTGAATTTTGGATCTAAAATGCTATTAAATTATTTAATTTTCTGAAGTTAGTAACAGCAATTAATCCTCTCAGTATCTTATTTGAAAACGGTAATACCCAAAAGTAGAAAGAGAGTAAGGAAGATATTGTCTGCCATAGAGACAAGGGGTGGGGTTGTGTGGGCATGGCCCGAGGGATACAGGGTACTGGTGACATTGGTAGTGGAAAATGTACTTTGGTGGAGGATTGGGTGTTCAATCATTGTATAACTGAAACTCAATCATGAAAGATTTGTAACTATATATCACAAGGATTCATTAAAAATATTTAAAAATAAAAACGTCTTAAGAAGTATTTATGTCAATTACTGCCAATCATGGGCTGGAGCAATAGCACAGCAGGTAAGGCAGTTGCCTTGCTCGCGGCCGACATGGCCGACCTGGGTTCGATTCCTCTGCCCCTCTCGGAGAGCCCAGCAAGCTACCGAGAGTATCTCGCCACACAGCAAAGCCCGGCAAGCTACCCATGACGTATTAGATATGCCAAAAGCAGTAACAAAAACTCTCACAATTTGTTGTGAGACGTTACTGGTGCCCACTCGAGCAAATCGATGAACAACAGGAGGACAGTGCTACAGTGCTACGCTACTGCCAATCATTATGTAAGGTAGCTGTTTTCATTATACAATTTTTATTTTAATACTTCAATTCTATGTAGTAATTTTTGTGGTCAAGCAAAAAGTGTTACAAAAATCAAGTTAGAAATGCATATGCCCTTTCTTCTGATTATTCTATTGCTCTATATATTTGTACTTTAAAAATAATTTTATATAAAAAAAAGTCAATGAAATAGGATGATCGTATGG